AGAAGCGGTGTAGAAGAGGAGGCGGGAAGAAGCTGATCGAAAGTCGCATGGAAGGCACGATTAATGGGCTCGTAAAAGTGCATGCAACGGGCATGGCCACGATTCCGTGAACGCGATCCCTATTATCGTTGCCTACTGGCCTCGATTTCCTCGCGTTTTTTCCTCTCCATTTTCCCCGCCGATGCCTTTCGAGAAAGGCCGCTCGCCTAGTCGGGCAGCAATCGGGAAATCATGCGAGACGCGCGAAATCACCGAGTTCGCCTCGTGTTTTCAAAGTAAATTGCAGACTTCGTTACATCAGAAGTTCCGATCAGGTTTCGTGGAGTTACGCGCCATAGACTGAGCCAATAAGACCTACAATTCGTATTTGATTAAAAGAGACTCACGCGTTTATCACGAAGCAGTGTTAATCACGAAAATTCAGTTTTCGATGCTTTGTAAATGAAAATAATGAAAGATAATTTGAAACGGTGCTTCGCATCGATTCGCCTTGTACATCCAGTGAAAGCTTTTCTCCTGACTGCGAAAAGAATGAAGATGCACCTATTGGTTTCACGTAAATCCGTAAACGATATTGGAACTTTTTTAGTAGCCTCCACGCAGTTGCAGTTCGCGTTCATCGCTTAAAGTACCGACTCTAATATCGCAGGTCGGCTCGATATTCGCATTGTGTCTCGAGTAAATTCTCGAGTATTTATCCTCGAGACTATTTATGCATACTGGCTTCGGAGAGTGGCACTCGATGAACGCGTACATCGAAACTTTCGAAGCGGTACAGGTACACTTTTGAGTGTCTCTTATTAGAGTTTCTTTCTCAAGTTGTTAAAGTAGTTTCCGGGGTACTTGGAGTAAATTTCGAAAGCTTTCGGCGGGTCTTATGGGAACAAGTTTCCTAACGTAGCCGGACGGAATTAAAACAAGTCGTTCAAGTATAACGAGTCCGCGGCAGGTCAGACGCGCGGTTTCCTCTTCACCCGAGACGTAACGCGTTTTAACGATCATTCGACGAGCCTGATGGGTCGTGAGTCAGCTTTCGATACCACGATTTCCCGCTTTATTTAACCCCGACCGGCGTCGTTCCGCCCGAGACCGCATTTTTTATCCCCATCCTTGGTTTATTCGCGTACGAGACTTGCCTTCACGCTGTTCTTCGCGTCGCACCTGTGCCCGATCGATCGCATTTTACATCGCAAATTACAAGGATCGATGTTACTTTAATACAGACTCATTTCAATATAAAGAGAAAACAATGAAACTCCTGTATAAAATTGCAAAATCAATAGACCAACGCGGTCTTTATGAATCCCCTCAGACCATGTGATTGATCAATTAAAAAGAAACTCACGTTCTCTGATGATCGTACGGCACACGATGATAACCGATCGTCGATTTACATGTGTAACAGCTCTCGATCATCCATTGCATCGCGACGAATTTAATTCATTCGTCCTCAGTCAGCTTTAAATTCCACTGACTGATTTAATATTAAAATTCGAGCCTCTTTAACACTAGCTTGCCCAAGGAAATCACTTTGACTGCTTTTGGGCAAATGTACGAATAATAATGCATAAGTATAGCCAATACATCCTTAAATGAACTGAAAACAGTCTGATTTGCGAGGGGCGTAACTCGCCGAGGCAAACAAAAACGGAGCAGGTATGTTTGCACTTTTCGGTCTAAAGGCTGGAAGAAATAAGGGGTTGAGATAGCGGCGGGGTGTTTAGCACTTGAGAAGTGAACGAGGAGTAGCCGAGGGACGAAGGGCGTGCAGGAGGGGTATGACACACCGCGTTCTACAGGCTTCCTACCCCCCATTGGCCCATTTACGGTCTCGTGCTTTCCTTTTTTTTTCCTTTCGCTCGACGCCTCTCGATGTTCGCATTACTACTCGTACCCCGAACGTTCAATAAACGGACCGAGTCAGTTCGGTATTTTATTTTCATTCACCAAAAGTTATAAACGAAACATTTTCGAATCTGACCTGTAAATATTTCATCGGGAAACGTTCTATTTGGCTGTTTGGATTTCGAAGTGTTTTTAGAGCCTCGTGTTTTTTTTTTGAAAAAACAGAGGCACTGGTAACGAAAGCGCAATTGGTGGCTCAATAAAAACAAGCTCACAGGACGTGGAACGTGAGGGTTCGATGCTCGTCACGAAGTAGACGAGTTTCTAGGGTTCTAAACGTTGTTTCGAAGCAGCCTCCCTGAAGAGACGGCGCATAGTGGGACGCATCGTCTATCGTTTATCTATGAAGTAGAAGAGAAACAGACCCCGCCGGACACTGTTTCTTTTATCAGGTGTCGCGCGCGACTTTTCAACGCGTTTTCTCTTCGCTCCTCGAGGAAGATCCGGAAGTCATTTGTCCGGGACAGGGCGGAGTACGAAAATTCCATCCCGCGGGAATCGTCGCCTTGGCGAGTTTCGTGTTTCATCGGTCCACACCTCCACCGAGAAGACGAGAAATAAAAAAAATGTGAGACCTCCGAAAAAGTACTGACACACGGGAAATAAAATGAATCCTTCCGTTTCTACGGGTGTCCTCGCAATTTAATCGGACCCATGAAAATTCCCCGGATATTTCCTAAGCCCTTTGTATTCTTCGCGAATCCTCGAGAATTTCTCTCTCTCTCTCGTTCGTTAAACGCGAGAGCGCCTTCGTGTGAGTTCGATCCAATTTGCAGAATGCGCGCAGCATCGAGCTGGTGTTTGTCACGTAAATATACTTCCGACATGATTTCGCGCGTATGTTTCACGCGTTTGAACAAATTGTCTGTGTTTAGACACGCGGGCTCAAGTATTTGTCGCTCTGTTTTCCTTTGCGAAACAGTTCCAGCAAGATTACGATGAAATTTGTATTTGAGTATTTCTCAGGAACGCGAGTCTCCTAGAAAGGGGGGAAAAATTGGCTTTTAAACGTGTTTCCCGTGGAAACAAGAAGAAGCGGTGTAGAAGAGGAGGCGGGAAGAAGCTGATCGAAAGTCGCATGGAAGGCACGATTAATGGGCTCGTAAAAGTGCATGCAACGGGCATGGCCACGATTCCGTGAACGCGATCCCTATTATCGTTGCCTACTGGCCTCGATTTCCTCGCGTTTTTTCCTCTCCATTTTCCCCGCCGATGCCTTTCGAGAAAGGCCGCTCGCCTAGTCGGGCAGCAATCGGGAAATCATGCGAGACGCGCGAAATCACCGAGTTCGCCTCGTGTTTTCAAAGTAAATTGCAGACTTCGTTACATCAGAAGTTCCGATCAGGTTTCGTGGAGTTACGCGCCATAGACTGAGCCAATAAGACCTACAATTCGTATTTGATTAAAAGAGACTCACGCGTTTATCACGAAGCAGTGTTAATCACGAAAATTCAGTTTTCGATGCTTTGTAAATGAAAATAATGAAAGATAATTTGAAACGGTGCTTCGCATCGATTCGCCTTGTACATCCAGTGAAAGCTTTTCTCCTGACTGCGAAAAGAATGAAGATGCACCTATTGGTTTCACGTAAATCCGTAAACGATATTGGAACTTTTTTAGTAGCCTCCACGCAGTTGCAGTTCGCGTTCATCGCTTAAAGTACCGACTCTAATATCGCAGGTCGGCTCGATATTCGCATTGTGTCTCGAGTAAATTCTCGAGTATTTATCCTCGAGACTATTTATGCATACTGGCTTCGGAGAGTGGCACTCGATGAACGCGTACATCGAAACTTTCGAAGCGGTACAGGTACACTTTTGAGTGTCTCTTATTAGAGTTTCTTTCTCAAGTTGTTAAAGTAGTTTCCGGGGTACTTGGAGTAAATTTCGAAAGCTTTCGGCGGGTCTTATGGGAACAAGTTTCCTAACGTAGCCGGACGGAATTAAAACAAGTCGTTCAAGTATAACGAGTCCGCGGCAGGTCAGACGCGCGGTTTCCTCTTCACCCGAGACGTAACGCGTTTTAACGATCATTCGACGAGCCTGATGGGTCGTGAGTCAGCTTTCGATACCACGATTTCCCGCTTTATTTAACCCCGACCGGCGTCGTTCCGCCCGAGACCGCATTTTTTATCCCCATCCTTGGTTTATTCGCGTACGAGACTTGCCTTCACGCTGTTCTTCGCGTCGCACCTGTGCCCGATCGATCGCATTTTACATCGCAAATTACAAGGATCGATGTTACTTTAATACAGACTCATTTCAATATAAAGAGAAAACAATGAAACTCCTGTATAAAATTGCAAAATCAATAGACCAACGCGGTCTTTATGAATCCCCTCAGACCATGTGATTGATCAATTAAAAAGAAACTCACGTTCTCTGATGATCGTACGGCACACGATGATAACCGATCGTCGATTTACATGTGTAACAGCTCTCGATCATCCATTGCATCGCGACGAATTTAATTCATTCGTCCTCAGTCAGCTTTAAATTCCACTGACTGATTTAATATTAAAATTCGAGCCTCTTTAACACTAGCTTGCCCAAGGAAATCACTTTGACTGCTTTTGGGCAAATGTACGAATAATAATGCATAAATTATTTTTTCTCAAGTGAAGTAAATTTTTTTTTTATTGTTAACATTTACTAATAACTTGTTATATGACTGTAAATAATATAAAAAATATTAAAAATTAATTTTAGACAAATCTCTTTACACATTCTTTTACAATGCAGTCATTTTGACTGCTTTTGGGCAATATAGGTATATACTAAGTTTCAGTCTTTCTAGTGTTAATCAGTTATTCTACGCTGTCTCTGATTAATTATTATCATCGTGTTTCTACGAAATTTTCTTTCGAACGTTATTATTTCCGAGGTACTAGAAAGCACGTGTCGTGACTAGTTTCGCAGAAACCGATTGTTCAGATCTCAGGCAAAGGGCTAACGATAAACGGAAACCCTCCGTCAGCTTTTGAAACGACCGGTCGTAACAAATCTCAATTATACGTAATAACGTTTCGATTAGATCGTGGCTAGGCGCGTTTTACCGGAGGTTCGATCAAGGTCAGAAATAAATATCTGACTCACTCGGTCTGATTGTCCTCGAACGTGAGCGTCCCCTCGGTGTGCAAGTACTGTTTTCCGGGTTTGGCGGTACCCTCGATGGTGCGATAGGGGACGATTACTCTTCCCCTGGCGCCGCTGTACCTCACCACGCGGAGAGGGTACTGACCAACGCTCTCCACCAGCTCTACGTCCCTCTCGGGGAAACCGAACACGCCGCTGTGATCGTCGTCGAGGATCATCACCGTCGCCAAGCTGGGTGACACCAGCATGGCTGGCTGCGACGCGTTGCTCAACCTGAAACCAAACAGATCATTTTTAATGAAATTACCCTGAATGATTCGTGTATCCAGATGTACCGTGTTGGTAATTAGTCTCTCCTCGACCCGGTCCTTCACTTTAACGATCGAGGGTAAAAGGAAAAAACTGGCACGACACTGTTTCTGTTATCGAAACGCGTCTATCGGGGTTTGACCCAAACACGAGAACGACTCGTAGGTATCGCAGGCTCTCCGAGGAAAGCTCGCGCGTGTTGCCAGATACGAACGGAGATTAACGGTGCAGGCAAAGAAAGCCGCGATGACTTGGAAGATTCCTTGAAACTTGCCACTTTAGTAGTTTCGCTAGGGGTTTTCAAGCTTGGTCGAGGGCGATCGTCGATGGCTATCGGGTTCGCTTAATAACGGCCGGCAAACGGGAACGGTGGATTTGAAAAGTAAAGATCGTATCTGTTGGAAATGTCCTGAGTAATCAAGAAATGCTTTCGCGGTACCCGCGCGGAGAATAAACTGAATTTATACGACAACCCTGTTCTCTCTTTTAAGAACCGTAATTACAGGGAATAAATTAATCCTCAACGTTCTATCCGATCTTCGCGCTCTATGTACAAGAAGAATCAATAAAAATGTTTATGTGAAGGGACAAAATTTTCTTTCAATTAATTATATTAAATATAAAATTCAAACAAGACTTCTTTAGGTAGTAAGAAACAGTCGCGTCGTTTCATCCCGCCTGAATTAATTAATTTTGAGATATCGTCCGGGAGGAAACAATTCCGTTGGGTGTCAGTGTTTCGAGTCTGTCAGGGCCGATGAGATTCACGGGTGAATCCTCGAACAGCGCATTTCAACAGCCGGAGAAAACGGCGGCTGACGATCTCGTACTCGATTACATCGGATTACGAGCGAAGAGGAGATGAAGCGCGTGCGAGAAGCATCAGTTCTATCGCGAACTTATCTCCTAGAACTGTTCGACCGGGTAGGAAGCATTTAAAATGCATGAGAAAAATACGGAACCAGAGATCCGGACAACGCTTTAATCGCGGCTGGGCTATAGACGGGATTATCATAATTGAACGCGAGTTCACGAACGTCGCGAATTAGGATCGACCCGTCTCTCGTTAAACCCTTCGAAGACCAAACGTACGGGAAATTCTAATCCTTGTTTAGCCGTCTCTCTGTAATTACCGTTTCATGTTGATACATGTTAAGAGAGGAATAACGATTCTTTCAATGGGATACTATTCCTGTGTGAATTTATTACGAGTCTGTGTTAGAT